TTGCTACAATGTGTCTCGACACTTTGCCCTTAGTCTCACGAACCAGGTGATGAAGGAACTCACCTTGGTATCACCAACTAGGTGATGAAAGGTACAACATATACTCTAATTTCATTTGGCAACTTGCCACTTTGATCACCAACTAGGTGATGAAGGAACTCATCTTCGTATCACCAACCAGGACATAAAGAGTACAACTAGTACTATTAATAAACATTTTTACCTCAGCAACTCACCATCGTTCCCATCAACTAGGTGATGAGTGGTACAACTTGTACATGTAAACTCTTAGCATTCACAAATAATCAAAAACCCTCAAGCCTTACGACTCAAAAAAGGGATAAACAAGCTTAACTCAACCCAACTGGGAGAGCACTTATGCCTAACAAGGGTTATAGTCACCAACAAAGGCTTCATTGCATGGTATACAAAGATCAAACTCTTCAGCCTTCTTGCACATGCCCCAGACATTACCCCTCTGTAACAATACAAACACTCTTGATCGAGATTGTGCGAAGCAAAATCAATTTATATGGTTTATTTGAACCTTCAACTACTACAATGTGTGGCTTGCCTCGCTCACTCTTCTTCAAGAGTGTGGAAGGAAAATCTATATATGTTGTCTCTCCCACATTTTCTTGTCCCTAGTTTCACACAAAAATAAAAAATAAAATAAAAAAAATAAAATCCGAAATTAATTAAATAATAATTATTTGATAATTATTGAGATAACTACAACATGTAGATTGCCTTCCACACTCTTCTTCAAAAGTGTGGAAGCAAAAGCTTCCTAAGGAAGAGAGCTTCCCACACCCTTAAGGGAAGAGAGCTTCCCATACCCAAGGGTATGAGCTTCCTATAACCTTGAAGGGACAGAGCTTCCCACATCTAAGGAAGAGAGCTTCACACACCCAAGGGTATGAACTTCCCACACCTAAGGAAGAGAGTTTCCCACTTGAGGGGAGAGAGCTTCGCACACCCTTGAGGGGAGAGAGCTTCCCACACCCAAGGGTATAAGCATCCCACACCTTTGAAGGGAGAGAGCTTTCCACACCTAAGGAAGAGAGCTTCCCACATCCAAATTCAAAAAGCCTTCCACACTCTTCTTCAAGAGTGTGGAAGCAAAATCTATTTATGTACTCTTCAAAAAGCTTCCACCGAAAGCTTCAACAAAAAATTCAAAAAGCCTTCCACACGCAAAATCTATTTATGTGCTTCAAAAAAACTTCAACCGAGGGCTTTAACAAAAATTCAAAAAGGCTTCCACACTCTTCTTCAAGAGTGTGGAAGCAAAATCTATTTATGTGCTTCAAAAAAAGCTTCAACCAAAAGTTTTAGCAAAAAATTCATAAACCTTTCCACACTCTTCTACAAGAGTGTGGAAGGAAAATCTATTTATGTGCTTCAAAAAAGTTTCAACCAAAAGCTTTAACAAAAAATTCAAAAGCCTTCCACATTCTTCTGCAAGAGTGTGGAAGCAAAATCTATTTATGTGCTTCACAAAAGGCTTCAACAAAAAATTCAAAAAGCCTTCCACACTCTTGCTCAAGAGTGTGGAAGCAAAATCAACATACAAGCTTCAACCAAAAAGCCTGCTTCACCTACAACGCTCCAACCTAAAAGCTTCACCAACAAAGCTTCAACCAAAAGGCCTCACCTACAAAGTTCAACCAAAAAGTTTCACCTACAAAGCTTTAACAATTCAAGCTATATGTCCAAAGGAAAAAGCTTCAACCATTCAAGAATATCAAGGCACCTCATTCGGCAACTCTCCTCGCCCGGAGACTTGGGGGACTCCCACTATATGCTACTACACTCCGGTACTTAGAAGTTTCGTGACTACTCAATGACTTAGATTTTTCAAGTCCTCAACCGAGAAACTTTCCTTACACGGGAACTTAGGGGAGCACTATTTGTACCATACTTGACCAATCCCGAAACTACCAAGCACAATCAACGTCATACCTTCAAAAACCCACTGAGGGGTTCATGTTAAGGCACCCCTGTTGAAGTACAAGAGTTTCTCTCTAACCAGGAGGCCAATCACAACACAACACAACACAACACATGTCAATGTCAGAATAAAGCTCATAGAGTCCAACATCGACCACAGACAAAAGCTGAAGACTCTCCTCAACTATAAAAGAAGACCATTATCCTACAGTTAATTCCTAATGTCATTATTGTACTTAAACTAGTTATTAGAACTCACTAATGATGATTATGCTTGAACCTTTGTATTTGTGTAAACCCTTCACTATTAATGAGAACTCCTCTACTCCGTGGACGTAGCCAAACTTAGGGTGAACCACGTAAATCTTGTGTTTGCTTCCCTATCTCTATCTCTTTACACATCAACATCACTAGGTGACCAGAACAACGAGCGAAGGTCACAAACTTGACACTTTACGTTGTTCCAAAGTCTTCACCGATTTTGTGTATCAATAAAAACAAAATGAATGAGGAAAGAAGGTTAGCCTACCCAATCAGGGGCCTGAGGAAACCGAGTCCACCAGCATTAGAAACAGCAGCAACAAACTCCGGTCCTGATATAGCAGGTCCAATCGGTGCTTGAACTATTCCATACTCAAAACCCAATATTCCACGCCAAACCATTCTATTCTCTCAAAGCTCTTTCATTAACTGGAAACTGCTCTAATATTTCTATTGGCTTTCTAGTTTTCTTAAATTTATGGTTACTAGAGATCCATGCATTCAAGGATTATATTTTATTAGTAATATTTTACAGTGGCCAGTATCCATGCATTCAACTAAGACGGCTGCTGATGCTGAGTGCTAAAGCATGAACGTGGACAATATTCGTCTGGTTTGTAGCAGGATTGTTGTTTCTAGTTTCCACACGCAAGTGAAAAAGTAATGCACCATTTTGTTTATTTTCCAAAGAACGTAAGGGTCAACTTTTAGAAAGAAAGGATTTACATGCATGGCAAAGGTATATTATCATGTCAATGATACAAAGATATGTTTCTCCCATTTTCAACTTTTAGGTTTTCACAATAATTTTAAACTGACCAACATTAATCACACTAATTTTTTATGATTCTCAAGGTTCTCTAGTATCACCATAACTTTCTTTCTTGCAACAAATTTTGTCGTGGATGCATATTATTCCCCAAGTTGTTTATAAGGCTCTTTTTTTTATCAGTTGGGTTAGGATAATGTAGAGGATTTTCTGTTTAGTGTGTTATTAAGAGAAAATCACATATCAGATTTTTTTTTTTTAATATAAAGATTATTTATACCAAGAGATGAGAGATTGAGTTAAGCCACATAATATGTCAGCCATAATAATTGATACAAATTCGCTATTAACAAGAGTCAAGCATAATACCTCATTCTTAAAGATTGCATGTTCGTATGTCTCTTCCTTTTTTAATTTAATTCAAAACACTTGCATTCACTCAAATAGATAATTTGTCAACAATTGAAAATGTAAAGCATTTTTAATGTACATAATGTACATAAAAGTTGGAAAGAAAACATTTCTCTTCTTCAATGTATCGTAAAGTTAAATCTCATAAAATCTATGGGTCAGACTGAAAATCATATTTGGCTTTCATGGTATATGTTGGAGTGGAAAAGTGGAGTCCATGCGAACATGCGAAATGACATTCCACTCAGATAAACAACATTTAAGTTTTAACTCCACCTATCTATAATATACATACCCAAGTTATTAAAACTAAATATGGAATATAATCACAAATACATCCAAATTACATCCCTCCAAATTTACTTTCTTCTCATCATAATCCACAAAAACTATTAAGTTGTTCTTCAATAATGAAAGCTTAAAGATAGGGATTAATTATTAATTCTATCTTTAATTCTTATCGCCTTGCATGGAAGCAGAGCTTGGAGAATTCATAGTTAGTAGCTCATGCTTCTTGAAGGTTGAACTGCGCTTGGAACAAATGTGGGCCTTTGCAATTTAATGAGGTTGTTCTCATCACTTGTGCGTAAAAGCCCACATATCAACTCTAGGATTTTTCAGATTATTTTTTACTCCACATATATAGCCTAAGTATGAAGCATGAATATTTCTGTTTAAATTTTTTTTAACACTGATAAATTTTTTCAACCCAACATGTTCCACCACTAACATCGTCGATATTGTCATTACTTAAAAACTTATTGCTAGATGCGTGGTTCAATACAAAATGCCTTGGAGACGTTAGTTATAAATCTTCCACATGTTAATTACATATTATTTTGTCATATCTCTAATACGGTACTTTACATTCTCTAACAAACTATGCAATATTGGCATAATTGTTTTCATTTTTCTGAGGAAGGAAATAATTAAATCCTAAATAAACTGCAGCTGTATGAAATCAACCCCTTTGGAATATATAGTTGGTCAATAATATTAACAAACCTATAGATTTCTCAAGAATACAAAGATCAAGCAGAAAGAAAGAGATAGAAGGAAGAATTATTCTCTGATTTCTTAGTAATGAATGCTTCTTACAAAACTTCCTAGCTGAATATGAAGGATCAAATGGTTATATATAATAACCAATAACAGCCCACAATTACAATATTACCCTCTAACATTCTTACTCAATTACAATATTATCCTCCTCAACAAACTCAATCCCCAACTACCTTTGTAACTAACTTGACTCACATTTGCTTGCCATGTGTCATTGGCTAATAGTCCCCCCTTAAACGTAGCTGGGAAGGTCCCAAGCTACGTTTGTAAGTTGATCATTGAGAACAAAGAATATTGCTAACTTGACTGTGACCCCTTGAAGCTTCTGCACTTGAAAACTTCTGCAAGAGTTGTTGACTTTCCTGCGCCTTTGAATTAGTAGATCCCAGATTAAGAGTAATACAGTGTTTTACAAAGATTGGACTGTGAAGACCCTTAGTAAACACATTTGTGACCTGTTCTTCAGTTGGTATATAGTGCACAGTAAGGTCACCTCTCTACACCTTTTCCCAAACAAAATGGAAATCAGTGTCTAGTTGTTTGATCATAGAATGAAATACTGGATTGGAGAATAGAGTGCTAAAGCAAAGAGATTATCATAATGAAGTTTGGGAGGTGTAGGTATAAATTGACTCACATCTTTGAGTAATGACCTGATCCAATAGACATCAACTGCACAATGAGCTAGAGCATTGTACTCAGCTTCTGTATAACTTCTTGAAACTGTAGCTTGTTTCTTTGACTGCCATGACACTGGATTAAATCCCAAAAACACCACAAATCCAGTGATAGACCTCCTTGTATTAATATCAACTGCCCAATCAGAATCAAAATAAGCAGCAATGTTAAAATCATGTGTCTTGGTATACTTCAACCCACATTCTAAGGTACCCTGCAAATATCTCATGATTCTCTTCACCAGATGCATGTGTAAATCTGTCGGATGAGTCATATATTGACAAACTACATTAACTAAGTGAGCAATATCTGGATGAGTGAAGGTTAGGTACTGAAGTGCTCTCACAAGACTCATGTAGTGAGTAGGATCTGCTAAAGGATTTCCTTCAGCCACAAGTAACTGAAAATGGGGCTTCGATGGTGTTGATGTGGGTTTACAATTCTCCATCCTTGTTTTCTTGAGTAGCTCTTTGGCATATTTTAACTGTGCAACCAACAATGAACCATCAGAGTTGTATTGGATTTGTAATCCCAAGAAATATGTTAACCTGCCCTTATCCTTTAAATCAAATACTTCAGCAAGACTAGTGATAACAGATTGAATCTTTTATGTGCATGAACTGGTGAGAATGATATCATCTACATATAGAAGAAGTAGAATAACATCCCTATCATCAATCTTCACAAACAAGCTAGAGTCTGATAGTGTAGTTTTGAAACCAAATGCAAGTAAAAAGCTTGTAAATTTTGAATTCCAGGCCCTTGGTGCCTGTTTAACCCCATATAATGACTTAACTAGCCTGCAATCATGATTTAGATGTGTAGAGTCAACAAATCCTTGTGGCTACTTCATATATACTTCTTCCTCAAGATCACCATGAAGGAAAGAATTCTTTATGTCCAATTGTCTCAAGTTCCAATTAAATTGTGATGCTAGAGTAAGGATTATCCGTACTGTGGTGTGCCTAACTACTGGACTAAATGTCTCAGAGTAGTCCAAGCCCTCATTTTGACTGAACCCTTGTGCCACTAAATGTGCTTTATACCTGGATATGGTGCCATCTGAATTTCTTTTGATCTTGTAGACCCATTTACTTCTAATTACTTCTCTATTCAGTGGAAAATGAACTAGCTTCCAAGTCCATTGAACCTTTAAGGCATCATATTCCTCCTACATAGCCTGTTGCCACTAAGTTACTGTTGATGCAGCTCTAAAATGTTTTGGTTCTTCAATTTCTCCAATATTAGCAAGGAAAGAAAAACCACCATGATTCATTGTATTAACAGATACCAAAAAGGGTTCAAGTTGTAGAGATGACAACTCAAGAAAGCTTGCAAGAAAGGAAGAGTAATCCTATCTTGTTATAGCTCATGTCTTAAGTTTTGTCTAAATTCCAGTGTCAACATTGGATACATTAGAATGACTGGATATGTCATTGGAAAGAGGTAAAGGTAGAATTACCTGTAGTTGTGCAAGATCTAAGACAGGAAGCAAATGAGTTGTACCAATTGGGTTGGAAAGAGTAATTGCTGATGATGATTGTGTTTCAAATTCCTGCATATCTGAAACTTAATTTGTATGAGCATTTGCATGATGATTAACCCCAGAAGATGATGTATCCTCAGACTGATGCATTGAAGACACAATATCCTCAACTAGACTTGGATGAATCACAGTGTCATTAGCTGAATTTCCCACTGTCATAGATACTAGAACAAGCACTAATATTGGTTTAGAACATGTAGTAGCAACCTGTTCTTCTTGTGATAATCTTGGTACCTTTGCAGAAGGAAACATGGATTATTGACTTGCCATTTATCGGGTTATAACAAATCACCCCTTTGTATCCCATTTAATACCCTAAAAATATGCACATTTCAGACCTTGACTGCAGTTTATTGACATTATATGGCCTTAACCAAGGATACATAGCACACCCAAACACCTTCAATGACTTTAGATCTGGCTGTTTCTTATATAGTCTGTAGTAAGGAGACTCCATGGAAATAGACTTACATGGCATTCTATTTATAAGTAATACAAAATGTGCACATACATAATACCAAAATTCAATTAGTGATTTGGCAGTGACAAGTAGAGTTATTGTTGTCTCTACTATATGTCTATGCTTCCATTCAATCAAATTGTTCTGTTATAGGGTGTATAGACATGATATCATATGTTCTATTCCTTTTGTAGCAAGAAAGGTTTTAAAAGAATGACCGGTATATTCTCATCCTCCATCTGACTGTACATACTTTATAGTGACTCTAAATTGTGTAAGTATGAAGTTATAAATTTTGACAAACACATGAAAGAGATCTGATTTATTGCACAATGGGAAAATCCAAGTGTATCTTGTGTATTCATCAAGAAAGGTTACATGGTATCTATATCCTTCTAAGGACTTTACAAAAGATGGTCCCCAAATGTATGTATGAACCTTTTCAAATGGTGAAGTACATTTATCAATCCTAGAAGGAAAGAGAATTCTTAACATTTTACCCTTGATACAATGAGTTCACAAACTACACTTATCATCTACATCAACTGATATACCAGACTTTTTCAACATCATAGCTAATATTTCATTTGTAGGATAACCCATTCTTTGATGCTAGAGATTGGATTTTACCATTTGTCCAAGAAAAACAGATGAACACTGAACTGCATACTACACTCCCTTTGAACATTTGATTACAGGAATTTGAAACAGTTGCCTTGGTTTACTCTTTCATTGGTACAGAACCTCCTTTGTCTTCTTGTCCTGCACAAAAACCTCACTTTCATCACATATGAACCAACTATGGTTATCAGCACATAGTTGTTGTACAGATAATAAACTTCTGGAAATATTTGGAACATGCAACACAATATTAAAAACAAGGTCACTAGATTTAGTTTTCAGAATTGTAGAACCAGTATTTGCAATAGATAACACTGTGCCATTTCCAATAGTCATGGTTTCAGAACCTTCAAATGTTGTAACTTGATTGAGCGAATTGACATCTGCAGTGATGTGGTGTGATGCTCCAGAGTCTATTATCCACGCATCATTAGGACTGAACTCTATTGAATGTTGTGCAGCTATAGCATTGAAGGATGATGCTAGTGGTTGTGCTTGATAAGCATAGTTGCCTCTGTGATAACATTCCAGAGCAGAATGACCCTTTTTTCCACATATTTGACACTAAAAAACGAACCCTGGTGATGCTGTATTTGCATTCCTTCGAAAACAATTCATTGCAGTATAACCCCTTTTATTACATATCTAACACTCAACAACCACACTAGACCTAGTATCAGTATTCCCAGACCATGCATTAGACCCATTCTGCCTTGTAATATTAGCTTGAAAACCAGAAGAACTCCAGAGTTAAAGGGTTTGCCTTTTTAACCACCATTTGACATGAAATTGTTGTTGCCTTTGTAGTTTGTACCATTGAATGATTTATTTCCAAACTGATTCCTTGAACCAATATTGGTACCCATGAAGCCGAATCCATAAAATGGTGGATATAATGTCGAATGATCAAAGGGAAATGGTTATGGATATTGCTAAGGAAATGGTTGCATGTATGGTTGTGATGCAAGAATGAATGATTGTACATAACCAATATAAGGAGACTGAGTTATAATGCCTTCAGTAGTTGATGTAATATGATTGTGTCCTGCATGATTAGATGTAGATCAGGACCCAGAAGAAGATCTAGCACCAGAGGAATTCAAACCATTAACATATAATGCTGACATGTTTTGAGATAACAGATTTATTTCACATTAAATTTCCTTTTCAGCACCCAATAACTGTGCCCTGAACTCTTTCAAGGTAATAGATGACTCCCTGGCCAATATTACAATCCTTATAACAGAATACTCCTTAGGCAAACCAGCTAAGCCATCAATTACAATGTCATTATCAGAAATCAACTCACCAGCTATAGTTAATTGCTCCATTATATTCTTCAATCTTAACAGATATTTATCAATAGTATCTATGCCCTTTTGAATAGTATGCAATTCAGTTTTAAGATGGTTCACTTTAGACTTCAAAACAGCTACATACCTATCCATAAGATTACTTTATGTCTCAAACGCAGTTTTGCATCCCAAAACATACTCCATAGCCTCATCTGTAAGAGTTGACAATAACAAACTTAAAAGAGCCATATTCGTAGACTCCCATTCAATATAATCTTTTGTAATCTCAGTTGTTACTTCGGAGTCTGTATTAACCACATACTTTGATGGACACAATGTTGTGCCATCAAAATAGCCAAAAAGCTTATATCCTTTAAGAACTGACTGAAATTGAAACGCCCATTTGGCAAAATTATCATCCCTCAACTTTATAGTTAACATTCCCAGTAAATTCTTCCCTTTGAATGATGATGACTCCATTGTTATACAACTTAGAACCAAGATTCTCGTAACAGTTGAAATTCCAGCAAAACTACCTCTCGAAAGTTTACCAAGAAAATACTAAAATCTTGATTTCACAAGTAACGAAGAAAGAAAAAAAAGAATAACACTTTCTCTAGATCAAAAGTATTCCAAATTATACCAAGAAAGACTGATACTTTCTTATCACAGTGTCACTCCAAATTATACCAAGAAAGACTGACACTTTCTTATCACAAGAGATTGATACCCTTTTTCACTTTTTTTTTACAGGAGATTGACACTCCGTTGCATTTCTCAGAATACAAAAATTGCAAATATAATACTTCTCAGCATACTAATTAAACAACATTCATCATTCTTCACACAAAACTCAAATCATAGGAAAACCACGTCATAGAAATTGTAGGTATTGCACAAATTTTTCAAACCAGAGAGAAATCACCTGATTTACACCAGAAATCGAATATTTGCATATGCTCCGAGCACAAAATCTTCAAGAAACCCAGCAATCGAATTGATTGGTAGTGTCAAAGAACAGCAAAATCTTCAAGAAACCCAAAAGAAACCCAGCAATCAAATTGACTAGTAGTGTTGAAGAGCAGCAGAAAATCACCAAAACCGAATGCGGTAATGATACCATATTAACAAACCTATAGATTTCTCAAGAATACAAAGATCAAGTAGAACGAAAGATATAAAAGGAAGAATAATTCTCTGATTTCTTAGTAATGAATGCTTCTTACAAAACTTGCTAGCTGAATATGAAAGATCGAATGGTTATATATAATAATCAATAACAACCCACAATTACAATATTACCCTCTAACATTCATACTTAATTACAATATTATTCTCCTCAACAAACTCAATCCCCAACTACCTTGTAACTAACTTGACTCCCATTTGCTTGCCATGTGTCATTGGCTAATAAATAACTCACAGACCGACCTCGTATTGTTTGTGTTAATGTAGAAAGAGGAAGATCGAAGGAGAAGATCAGAGTACAAGAAATAGAGAGAGAGAGAGAAGTTTTAGATAGAGAAGTTGTAATATTGATCTTTCTTAATATTCAAGTAATTACAATGATGTACTTATATCAAAGACTAACTGTCTAACTAACTATCTAACTAAGTTTCACACCCTTTGGACAGATGGCATAATCCTAGCCACTGTCTATGCCTTACATGCCCCCGCAAACTCATGAGGGGATGATCCAAGCATGAGGTTGAAACAATGAGACTGAAAAAGAATAGTACTAAGACCCTTAGTTAGAATATCTGCAAACTGTTCGCGAGATGAGACAAACTGAACATAAAGTTTCGTCTGAGCAACCCGTTCACGCACAAAATGTACATCGATCTCAATGTGCTTCGTGCGTTGATGTTGGACCAGATTAAAGGACAAGGCGATAGCAGAAAGGTTGTCACAAAATAGAACTGGAGGACGAGCAGGCTGGACATGCAGAAATTCCAGCAGTTGCTGAATCCAATCAAGCTCAGCGAAGGTAGTAGACAGAGCCCTGTATTCTGCTTCCGTTGAGGAACGAGAAACAGTTTGTTGTTTCTTGGAGGACCAGGAAATAGGGTTATTTCCCAAGAAGACAACCAAACCAGTAGTTGAACGGCGATCATTGGGATCACCAGCCCAATCGGCATCACTAAATGCTTTCAGTAGTAAATCCCCGCGAGTATAAGACATGCCAACAGATAATCTGCCCTTGAGATACCTCAAAATCCTCTTTACGGCTGTAAAATGGGACATCAATGGAGATTGCATGAACTGACAGACTTGATGAACTAAGAAGGCAATGTCCGAGCAAGTGAAAGTGAGGTATTGAAGGGCGCCAACAATACTCCGGTATGCAGTTGGATTATTATAGGGAGTGCCATCATCTTTAACCAACCGATTGTAGGGTAAGCATGGAATGTCACAAGGCTTACAATCAACCATCTCAACTTTCTGCAACAAATCCAGTATATATTTGGACTGAGACAAGAATAGTCTCGTAGCAGTTTTGATAACCTAAATGCCCAAAAAATAATGAAGCTCCCCCAAGTCCTTGATGTCAAATTCAGATGTTAAAGAGTTGATCACCTGTTGAATAACGGAATGAGAGCTGCCAGTAAGAATAATATCATCGACATAGAGGAGGAGGACCACAATGTCACTGCCAACAATCTTAACAAATAAGGAAGAATCAGCATATGTGGACTGAAACCCAAGAGTGGGAAGAAAACTTGTAAATCGTTCATTCCAGGCTATAGGTGCCTGTTTCAATCCATAGAGTGACTTGTGTAAAT